AACATGGAATCTAGGTCTCTGCTGCATGGTCCAGTGCCTCACCATTTATGCCACTGTGCTCATTCTATAATAGGCATAATGTTACAGAATTACTAAAATACCCTCCACCGGGCTTTGAAATATAATGAAGCTGCCACTTCAGAGGCTTTCTTTGCATAAGATAATGCTGTGGGGACAGAGTATTCCTGGCTTACCTAGTTAATCCTGGAGATTCAGCAATAGATGGATGGGTTATCTCTGAATTTGTCAGAGATGATTCATGTGCGGATTAATGTAAGAGGGGAAACAAATCTAAAGTCAGCTGCCTCCTAAGCACTGCTTTGTGTAGTTTGACAAGATTGTGGTTTTAAGAATAAAGGCCTTAAAATGATATCTTACCATATTCTAGTATTAAGAAAAAAAGGAAACAGAAGAAATTTACTTAAGTATTAAGATATTAAATCATGAGGATATTAAAATGTCAGATTTGTTCTGGCTCATGTAGAATCTTATAGCTAGCCTATTTAATGAAGTACTCTAAGTGAGTTCACGAAGTCTTCATCTTCATCTGTATGGACACTTCCATCTGTTGATCACTACTGAAGTTAATGTAGAGTTTGAGCGGGAGGCCTGGCCCCTTGAGGTGTCCGTGACTAAGGTCTGGCCTTAGTTGTGGGGATCTATAAATTGGGTCACACCTAGAAGTTATCAGGCTTAAGAGGAAATGATTCTTCCTAACCAAATTCACAATCCAATAATGGGCCATGTGCTAATTTACTGTAAGAAATACACACGTCTGTCCATGGAGACCTAAAAGTTGTCAGTTTCTTAATGCATATTTTCTCTTTGAAAAGCCTTTAGGGAGAGCCAGTTTTTATTAATCAGAAGATTTCTTGGTAAGATTGGAATCAGCAGTTTTTTATTTTGGAAAATTTGAGACACAAAAGTAGGACAGTTTAGTTAATTAAGACTAAATGGCCATTCTCTACTCTGTGTGTGTTCCCTGTCCCCTGTTATTTTCAAGCAAGTCTCAGACATACTTAATTGGCAAATATTTCTGCATGTGTTGCTAAAAGATAAGGACTTAAACAATAGTTTATTAATTAAAAATGAATTGGGTGAACTTTTTAATTGGTCAGCTATGGTACTGATCTGGTAGCTTACTTTCCATTGTGCCTCTCAAGAGGATGTGGTAATTGAGTCTGCTGTTCTGGCGTCCTCCCTTCTGCAGTGTAGACACACTGACTGCATCATTGCCCTTTTTGTTAAGACATTTTTTCTTCAAATAGATCATAATACATTAATTTTTTAGTTAGGATTAAAACACTTTTCTTCCCTTCTTGATACAATCATTATCACCTAGATTAGAGATGTTTACCTCCTTTTCTTATAGCATTACTCAGCTCCAGGTGATTTATCTGGTTTCTTCAGTATAGTTAGTGTCACAGAGGAAAACCAACCCTATTTCTAAGGTCTAAGAGCACTCTGACCACATACGGGTTGAGTCTAGCCATCTGGTTGATGAAAGGTTTCTAGAGATGTCAAAACTGAGTAATTTAGGGTGGAATTTTTTTAAGCTTGTGTCCGTTCTGTGCTTCAAAAAAATGCATTGTAGATGAGTTGTGAATATTTTTAAACATAATTCTAAATGTGCATGATTTAAAAAAAAAACCCATGAGAACTTACTGTGTATATTTTCTGTGGGATGGGACTTCATTTAGGGTTGGTTTTCAAGTTTGAGTTTGGACTGATTTTTAGTTGTTTATGAAAGAATCCCAGGTGACTGCTTTTTAAGAATTTTGTGTTACAATTATAATGCTTGTACATGGTTGAAAAAAACAACAGCAATGTTCAATGATCTGTGTCTCCTTTCTACTCCTGTCCCTCTCTTCCTCCCCAGGAGCTACTAATTATTTTTCCAAGTGTTGTTTTGTGGGGAGGGGGGTGGTGGGGGATGTAAGCATTTATGTATGAATCTTTTAAAATACATGCTAGAGCACCATATGTTTTGAATCTTGCTGTTTTCACTCAGTATATTTAGAAACATTTGAGACATAGGCGATAGCAATTTTAAGTTTAAACATGTAGTTTTCAAAAGTATATTTCAAGTAAAAGAGAAAGTAAATGTTTTTTTCATTGTTGTATTAGTTGTTTGTTTTTTTTTAATTTCCTAATTTAAAAATGCAGTTTGAGAGTTTCTTAGTTGGTCTGTTTCTTCCTCCCAGCCATCCCAAATAGATCAGTTGTCAACAGCTTTAAGAATGTTTAGGAACAGCAGCTCCAGAAAGCAATTTGGCATAATTGTGCCATAACTTCTCTTGTGGTTATTCCACCCTTAGATACATACCTATAGAAACTTATGCATGTGTGCCAGGAAATTGATGTAAAAATGTCATAACAGCATTGTTTGTAATAGGAAGAGAAGGAAATAAAAACAAACTGGAAAGACTTCAGATGTCCAGCAATCCACAGGATAAATATTGGGGTATATTCCTACAGTGGAATTCCACAGAAGTCAGACTGAACTACAGCTACACATGTGAACATGGATGAATCTAAATGGTCAAAAAAGCAAGTTGCAGAAGAATACATCCACTATTGGTTCCTTTTCTGTGAAGGTCAAAACCAGGCTGTTAAATATATGGTAAATGAAAAGCAAGGAAATGATTAATACACAATTCAGTGCATTGGAGGGATGGAGGGAGATCATGGAGGGCAAGGAGGAGCCTTCAGACGAACTGGTGATGATTGCTAAAGCTGGGTGGGTGGTTTCTTTTTTAAAACTGTATGTGTATGTGCTTTTGTATGTATGACATTTCTTAATAAAATTTAAATTAAAAAAATGGGAAAAGGTCTTGGTGTAGGTAGTTAGTAGTAACATAAATGTATAAACATAATGTATTTCATGAAATTAATCTTCAGTGAGTAGCAGATTAAAGGGTACTATTTCTTGAGTGCCAGATTTAGTCTTAATTGTGGTCTTTAAAAGCTAGCAGTGGGACCTAAATGTGTCTTTTCTTTGTGGTATCTTATTTTTATCTTGATGTAATTTTCATTTGGGTGTCAGCCAGGGAGCTGATGCTGCTTCTGCTGTGTAAGCAGCTTCCAAAGAAGCTTTTCTCCTAGATTTATGTCATTCAAGAAAGGAACCTGCTGGGGTGAGAAGAGCCATTCTTCTGACCCATGGTCAGCACATCCTTTGCCTTGTTCAAGTTAGATCATCACCTCAGGCTGCTTTTTGTCCTTGTCTGTCCTACTCTTACCAGGGGTACTATGAAGTGTTTAAAAAATGTTTGCTCTTTAAAGGATAGTGGTTGAAACTTGAGAGGCACCTGCAGGTGCGTAAAAATCATGTAGCTCAAGGCCCTGTGTCAGTTAGCGGAGGCCCTCTGACCCCCAGTCATGTGCCTCAGGTGAGAGTTGGCTCCTCTTAGTGTAAGCTCAGGGCTTAACCGTGAGTTTACTTAACATCCCTTAAGGCTGCTCAGTCCTGGGTGCTATTTTGATACCTTAGGTTACATCAGTGTGCAGAATAGGGGCAGCTCTTGGTGGAGTCTGCTCAGAGGGATGGGAAGGGCGGTGCTGAGTCACTCCATTCAAAATTAACATCTGTTGTGAACAACTAAGAATTCCACATCATTCCATGTTTTAACCTACGTATCTTTTGGAACGCTTTAAGATAGCATTCTGGTACCCGATTTATTTCAGAGACTTTAGGTAATGATGGTTGGGAGAGTATAGCTCAGTGGCGTGCAGTGTGTGCCTAGCATGCATGAGGTCCTGGGTTGAATACCCACTACCTCCATCAAAAGTAAACAGATAAATAAACCTAACCCCCCCACCCCTCAGAATAATAAAAATAGGAAATTATAAAAATCTTTCAGAATTGCACTTCACTCAGAAATTAGTTTTTACAATCTATGTATGAAATACATAATAAAATTACTCTTGAAGCTCTTCAGACTTATTGATCTGCAGCCTTAAAGCTAGGTATGTTGGTTATAGGAAGTAAGTATGTTTCTGGTGCAGGCTGTATTGAATTTGCTTATCAACCTTGTAATTAAATTGCTGCCCTTGTTGATCTTGGTGAATTAAACGACTATGCAGCACCTGTGCAGGTTCTGCTGTTAGTGTAAGCGTTCCCCTCAGCAGTAATTTTTTCAAATAAATTTGTTCTACCGTGTTCATTTAAAAACAACCTAAAACCTCCCTTTTCTACAAATGGTAATTTTGGGCCATTAACCAACCCTGAGCCACTTCCTAAATTTATCTTAAAACAAAATTGAAAATACCTTGGGGAGGTGGCCCTTGGGAATCGACCCCCTGCCAAGCCCTATCACAGTCCTGACAGTGGAACACCGCTCTGGATGGTTGGAACTGACTTCTTTAGGGGGCTATGCTGCCTTAAAAATGTCACTTAGATGCTAAGCTTAAATTCAGTGCCAAGGTGCTCCAACCATAATCCTGTGGATACTAAGTAAATTGCATATTCAATTCTCATAGTCACTCACTCCATGAGTAAAGTGGTATGCACGTCTGCACCTGCACTAATCGGAACACCTTCCACTCTGGCAGCTGGGTGACATGGTAAGTGTTGATGTAAGGCCTCAGTGTCCCTTTGCCCTTCATCAAAGCTGAGCTATTAAGAATTTGGAGGTGAGGACGTGGCCTGTTTCTTGTGCTACAGGAAACAAGACATTGTGCTTGCCCAGAATGTCTCTGGTACTTTTTTCTCAGTTCCATGGGGATTAGAGATGATTTCATGAAGGTGTGTAAAGAGGCAACAGTGTGGTTGGTGTGTGTTAATAAAAGTTGGTAGACAGAATCATGCATGAGTGCTTCCAAGGTTCAGGTAGTTGTTAACCATAAGCTAGTGAGATGACCCAGGATTCCAGGTAGCGTGGTAGGGAAGAACCTAGCATGGGATCTGATCACAGCCCACCTTGGAGCTAGTTGTTAGCAAGGGCACTAACTTTGTATTTTTCACCTGTTTTAGTAAGAGTTCAGTGCTGTGGGCAGTGCCTTGGCTTTTCTTAAAAGCCTCAGGTAGTAACTCAAGTTGTGTAAGTCATGCTGTTTTATAGATAAGTTAAAAAGTATGTAAAGAGGAAATGATGGTGTGGAATGCTTTTTAGAAACTGGGAACTTTGAACCAGTGTGCCAAGTGGGTTCTGGCTTTCCCAGCTTCATCAGCTCACCCTGCCTTTTAACGGAGTTCATGTGAACAGACCCTGGCTGGTCCTGACACTCAGGAGTGCATACCTATGCCTGATCAGGATTGGGGTACAACTTTACAAATTAAACTTGCATTGGTAAGTATCATAGTTATAATTTTTTTTGTAGTACTATCTGTCAAAGCACTTTGAACATAACTTTTCTCCCAGCTCAGAGAAGTTGGAGACGAGGAAATGCAGTAATTTTTCAAAGTACACATGAAGTTAGCAAACTGGTACATGCATCCAAGGCTTCATTATTTACAAAATGCTGATTCCAGTTTTCTTTTTTTTTAATTGAAGTATACAGTTTACAATGTGTCGATTTCTTGGTGTATAGCACAATGTTTCAGTCATACATAAATATACATGTATTTTCGTATTCTTTTTTGTTGTAAGCTACTACAAGATACTGAATATAGTTCCCTGTGCTATACAGTATGAACTTGTTTATTTTATATATATTGATTCCAGTTTTCAGTTCTTGGGTTTCTTAATATGTCATTTTTGCAGCATTGCCGTTGTAACAGGGCTTCTCCAACAGCGATGGTGTGTACGCTGTCAATTCAGAGCTGTTTTTCATTAAAATGAGTTCTACTTCCTGAAAGTCCCGTAGTCTCAGAATGTCTTTGTCCTTAATATGGAAGAAGAAATTGTACATTGGTTCATAAATACGTGTGAAATTATTAAGATAAAAAGGCTTAATACTAGATGCCAAGCATTGTTTTCTCTGTCTTTCCATGGTAAACTAAGTCAGCAGTTGAGAATTCTTTCTTTTCTGTGTGTGGGTTTTTTTTTTTTTGGGTCTGTGTTGCAGGTTTCCAGGGGGAGTACAGTTCCATGATGCTGCCCAAGAGTAAAAGGCCAGGATATTTTTTAAAACATCTAGAAAGTATGATTATCCCACCACGTTTTAGTTTACAAAGAATAAACAATTAGGCAAAAGGCTTTTGCTAAAGGCATTTTGAACATTGCTGTTTAAAAAAAATAATGCCCAAAGAAATGAGACTTTTCCTCTGAAATTCAAAACTGAGATGTGTTTTGAATCTGGAAAATATATAAAAATGCACAAAACTTTGTTTCCTAAGGTTGCAGACTGTTGCTAAGCAGGTAAGAGTGGGTTTATACCTTCTGTCCTGGGGACCAGTCAAGTTTTGCAGAGGTTGGAAGTGGACCATACATATTGAACTAGTCTTATTTGGGTACTGTAATTCAGACAATTTAAAAGGGTTTATGAATTAGGTATGCAAATCTGTAAAAGCACCAGATTGAGAATTACCTACCTACCATGTTTGGCTATCCTGCACAAGGATTTCCACTGTCTTGGATTTTGTTTTCATACTAAAAATGCAGAAGCTAATGATTGGCTTCACAGAATATAATTTTACCCACTTAGAACCCAGTCTGTGTTTAGAAACTTGTAAACCCTACCTTTCTGAGCAGTGTGTTTGGCAGCTTTCTTATCTTCTCCACTTGCTCTGGGTTAATCCCCAGTTCATAGCAGCTCACTTTTAGTAGATTTTGGTAACTCAGCTCTTGTCTGTTCAATTCAACCTCAATGAAGTCATTTTCTTTGTGGCTCTGAATTCTGACTTTAAGCACCAGCTCTGGATCACCCACAAATTTATTTATAAAAGAAACAAAAGACCCATTTTAAAGTCTTTGAACATTATCAATTATTACAGCATAGATAATCCAAATAACTGAGTAATAAGTAGACCTGGAACTTTTATAGGCATTTATACACTTTATCTGAGGCCTTTCTTGGAATGCTGGGCAAGCTCTAGGATGTATGCCCCATTATACTCACCAAAAGACTTGCAGTTTGAAGCCAGGCTGGGATTTCAAATATGCAATGGGTGATACGCATCACCCTTGGCAATATATACATGTTGTTTGTACCTTGGCTACTTGGAAAGCTTCGAGGAAATGTGCAGCCCTGGGGCTCTGTATCCTTAACCCATTGTGCAGAGGTGCAGATCATTCTGCTGATTCCTACTGTACCCCTGGGACTTCAAGGTGAGCCGCAGGCCCTGAGAAATAGATAATGCTACCATCTTTTGGGACGGTGGCATTAAGTGAGCCTTAATTGTCATAAGAAGGAGCACTACTGACTGAAGGAGGAGGAAGCCTAATGGCGAGTTTGCAACGTGGTCTAGGGGCTGAGTCCTTACCTAGGCAGGTGTCATTGGGCTTGGCATTATCACCTTGGTCAGTTGGCAACTGTGGGTTTGAACCTTGTTTATACTCACGTGAGAAAGAATTAGAGGAGAGCTGAGAAACAGCAGCACCTCAGCATTTAGCTCTCTGCCAGATGTGCCAATTAGGCGAGGGATAGCAGAGCCCCATCTCCACTTCCTGCTCTGCAGCTCCTCCTCACAGGTAAGAACAGCCACGAAAAGGGCAGTAATTGTATTCAGACTTGAAGAGTAGTTGTCCTTAATCACCACTTAAATCATGAGCAGGAACTGAGACAGAATTTTTAAATGGTATGTAATCTGAGGGAGAAATACGTGTAACCTGTGTGCTTAACTCAAATTTCTACTTAGGTATATTCAGCAGTGAGGGCTTTGTGCCTCCAGTTCGTTAGCAGAGTCATACTGTTAGAAGAGTCCCTTTATAAGGAGAGATTTTCTCAAACAGAAGGAAAGGAAAGAAGGGAACATTACAGAGTAACTTCCAGGTGCCAGGCCTTTTACATACTTAAAATAGCCTTCCAAGCCTACACTGCACCGGCACTGTGCCAAGCCCTGGGGAGATGATGATGCAAACAACAAAAATCCGAAGTGGTCTCTCTCCTGGTATTTCAGGTTAGCAGGAGAGAAAGATATTAATCAAGTGACCTCAAGTAAATGTGAAATTACAATTGTGGGCATGGTGAGGGCGAAATCCACAATAATGGGAAAGCCTGGAAAGCAGTCAAGAAAGGTCTCCCTGAAGGCTGTGTTTTGAGCTGGCATCTGAAGGATGAGTAGGCTTAAATAGATCCAGAGGGTGGAGAGGGAGAAGAGCTTTCCACGGCTCGGGAACAGCAGAAGGCTCTGTATGTGTGAGGAGGCAGTGGCTCTTTAGAAGAAAGAAAAGCAATCCAGCATGGCTGCAGGCGGAGAGCTGGGAGGGACAAGATTGTGGGGTTATCCACCAACCTGTGCTACCCAGTTCAACCGCTGATCACATGAAATGAGATACACTCTTAAGTGGAAAACACACACTGGATTTCAAAGACTTAGGAAAAGTAAAGTATTTCCTTACTTTCTAATATTGTTTATATGTTGAAATGATAGTTTTGATATACTGGATGAAGTATACATATTAAATTTAATTTCTTTTTAAAAAATGTGGTTACTAGAAAACTTTTAATTACGTATGTGGCTTACATAATATTTTAATTGCACAGCGCTGGTATGGGTGAAAGGTCTTTGCTCTAGAACAACACCAAGTCATTAGACAGTGCTGAGGAGGCTGTCACAATCAGATTTGCATCTTGGGGGGAAAAAACACCAGAAACCACTGTCGTCACAAGAATTATATGGACTGTAGTTTTCAGACAAGAAAGTTGAGGCTGAAAGGTGAAGTAACTTGCTTGAGTTTGCTCCATTAGGAAATGGCAGGACCTGGACGAGACCTACTAATGTAGTGGAGCCCAGTGCAAAATGGCTTCCCGGGGAACTGAAGCCTCCCCACCGGAATACTCTGGAACCCGGGGGCAGCTGGGGGACCCCTGCCCCTTCCCTGCCAGGGACCTCAGCATGCCCTGTCTTGTCTGCCTCTTGCTTGAGTCTGCCAGGGACCAAAGGTGACAGCAGAATGAGGGACGTGCTCATTGTCCCATCTGATTTCACTTACAAAACAAACTCAAAGATAAAGCTATTAAAAATTTCGAGCCAGTGACCACAGAGCCTTTAATCCCAAGCGTGAGGACTCTCTGTATGCCAGGCCCTGCGCAACTGCTCTGATCTCAGGCCCACAAACCCAGTCCTGCTTAGGGCTCAAACTGCTTTTCCACACTGCTACATACTTCCCCAGAAATGAGATGCTCCCACCCAGTGCAGCTCTCTCCCAGGACAGAAATAACGTGCCCCCGACTCCCACTCCAGACAGGGACCAGCAGTCTAGTCCTTGTCCTTCCACTCTGGGCCTGGAGACTGAGTCCCTCTCCCAGGCGGCCCTTGCAACAGCTGGGCCTCACCCTCCCAGAGACACCTAACCTGGAACGATGCCCCCTCACCAATTCCACGACTCACTCAACAAAGAACACGAGAACGAACATCCCCCAACTTGGCCTGCCATGTGTAAAACATTTTATTCTCCCATGAATGTGTCAGATTAAGTGCCCTGTAGATGAACAGGGTTTCTTAGAGGTCAGAAAGGATGTTCTTTTGAAGTCAAGCAGATTTGGGTCTGAATTTTTCCTGTGCTATTTAGTAGCATTGACACCTTGGACAAATTACTTAACCTCTCTGAGTCTGTTTTCTGATCTGGAAAATGGGATTAATAATCTCTACCTCACAAAGTTGTAAGAAGTAAATGAGAAGGTGCACAAGACGTACAACCACCCCTGGCGCGTAGGGAGCAACAGGAGCTGCCGGCTGCTGCTTTTGATGGTAGCTACTGACACCTGCCTCCTCTTGAAAGGACCCTTGGTCCACTTGCTGTCCCTTGACCACTCCATTGGCAGAGTGGGGAAGGACACCCCGCCCTTCCCTTCCTCAGGCCCCTCCCCTATCCTCCTTGAGGACCATGTTTGAAACAGGACTTCCAGACTCACCTACAGGCTTCTCCCTCACGTCCTGTTGGGGTCCAGCCATGGGTCAGCTCTGTGGTCTGTCGGATCAGCAGTCCCTCTTGAATTTACGCCCAAACTCCCAATCAAAAAACACCTTCTAAAGCCTCAGTGCATCTATCTGCAGTGGAAAAATAATCTGTTTTTGTCATTGGCTAGTGAGATAGAGCAGGGGTTGGCCTATTTTACAGACAGGCAAACTAAGGTCCAGGTGTGTCGTATGACTTGCACAGAATGCTGCAAGTGAAGGACTGAGATTCAAGGCTCCCTGCTCCCTCCTCTGGCTGTGTCCACTGGGAAGCAGTGCAGGCTAACAGAGCCCACCCACGGGTATGGCGCCCTGAGAGAGGAAGCCTTCAGAGGCACAACCCTCCTTGGAAAAAGTTAGCAGCTACTACTTCAAGGGATAAGAAAAGCCAAACAGTATCTTGGACTGAACAGGCTCACCCACCTCCCCGATTCTCTCTCCCTTTTCTCCCAGCCCCTTCCTCAGCTTGTCAGTGAGTGACAAGAAAGCAGAAAGACCCGGACCCATACCTGGGGTAACTCCGCCTGGGTGAGGATCCTGAATCCCCGATTCCAGACATAATGGAGAAGGCAGGAGCTGGAGCGAAAGGTTCAGTGAAGGGTGGGTGGGGCTGGGCAAAGTCCTGGGCAGGGCAGCTGAGGATAGGAACTCACTGGGGTGACTCTCTCAGTTCGTTAACCTGACAGACGGGGACAGGGCCTCAGGTGGGCCTAGCATCCTAAAGCTAGAGGGAAATCTCACACTTAGCTGTGCACCTGCGAAGCCGTAAAAGCTACGCGTGCCTTGGTCCCACCCTCTGACGAGTCCTACTTAGTTGGTCTGGGGTGCAGTCTGGGCCCTGGAAGTTTTAAAAGGTCCCCAGATGATTTTAATGTATGGCCAAAGTTGAGAATCACTGATTTGGCCAAACTGCTTAAGGGACAAATGGGGAAACAGAAGTCCAACGCAGGGAGATACTTCTCGATAGTCACAGGGGCAGCCGGGCACAGGCCTGGGACTATGTCTGGGCCACCTGGCTGCCAGCCTGAGGCTGCCTCCTCAGCATCCCCGGCGCCCTTCTGCCAAGAATGGAGGAGCACCCCCGACCCCCAGCAGAGAGGAGGGAGCAGCTGGGATCCGTCCGCCTGAACTCCGAAGAAAGAAATAGCACTTCGGCCAGCCAGCTGCCAGGGTGTGTCAGCAGTAAGCAGCCTCCCTGGGAGGCGGGAAGCCCCATAAAAAAGACGGGCAGGACCCCCAGCAGGGCCACTGCTGTCCTGCCAACACCATCCGCTTCCCTGGCCCAGCGGCTCTGTCTCACTTTTTGCCTCTGAACTGGCTTACTTACCCCTAAAATTCTATTGGTTTCCTGAGCTCACTTCTGATTGGTTATTTCCTTCACTCCTGATTGGTCCATTCCCCTCACTCCTGATTGGTTATTTCTCTCACTCCTGATTGGTCTATTTCTACAAAGTTTGTTCCTAGTTGGTCAACTTCTGTTATACTTCATTTGCATATGATGTTGCAAAGTGTGAAACTGGCAGCCTATAAAGGCCCGTGTAAACCTACTGCAGGGTCCAGAGCTTGGAGTGTTAACTTTTCTGCGCCTGGTGGTGTAATAAACCTGAGTTCTGTAAGTCTGAGTGCTGCTTGGTCTCTTGTCTGGATCCAGGTTGCTGTCACAACTGAGCTGTAACACCTTTTTCCGCAACACCTGCAACGCTTTCCCTGAGTGGACTGGCGGTAAGGGCTGAGGGGCTGGAGAGGAAAGTGCTCATGCCCTGAGGGGAGCCACTTCCGTCTCCACGTCTCCTGCCTGCCCACTCCCCACTCACCCATTCTCGGGTTCACTCGGCAGTATTCACTTTTTCTTGTTCAGGGGACCTTTTTTTCCCTTTATGTTTATTTTTTAAATAAAAGCATTCCATGCTCTAGTTCTAAAAGTTGAGTAGTTCTAAAGATCAGTTAGCAAGCAAGAGCAGCATGCTTGCTGGGAGGCAGTCACAAGGGCCTGGTGTGGGTTTTTTTAATTCATTATGCTGGGCACTTAGGACTCTTCTATTTATAGAGTAGCTTTTGTGTGCGGGTAGGCAGATGGCTTTCAATTTTGGTATAGTTTCAAATTTACATTAAAGTTGCAAGAGCATATACCTTTTACCAGTGGTTAACATATTGCCCATTTGCTTTAATATTCTCTTTCTCAAAATAAATAAGTAAATAAATAATATTCTATCTCAGTATATAATCATGTGTATGTACATATAAAAGATACACACACCCCCCCACACTCACACATTTCCCCCTGAACCCATCTGAGAGTAATGTAGACATGCTCCTTTATCCTTAAAGATTTCAGGCTGCATTTCCTAATAGCAAGGATATTCTCTTACATATCCAAGATACCAGGATCAAAATCAGGAAATCTAACATTGGTATAACGCCATTAGCTAAACCACAGTCCGTACTCAAATTTTATCAATTAACCCAACAATATCCTTTTTAGCTTTTTTCCCCTGGGCCCAGGATCCCATGCAGGGTTATTCATTACATTTAATTTTCATGTCTCATAGATTTCTTTAATCCAGAAAAATTCTTCAGTCTTCCTTTGTTTTTCATGGCATTGACATTTTGGAAAAGTCCAAGTCCATAATTTTATCGTTTGTCCCTCTTGGGTTTGTCTGATATTTCCCTGTGATTAGGATCAGATTATGTGCTTTGGAGGAATTGCACAAAAGCGCTATGTCTTTCTTAGTGCATCGTAATGGAAGGCACACTTTGGTTTGTCCCATCTTAGGGATGATGACTTTAATCAGTTGTGAAAGGTCTGCTGAGTTTTTCCATTGTAAAGTGTCTCTTTTCCCCTTTGTAATTAATATGTAATTTATGGGAGATATTATTAAACCATACAGATATCCTAGTCTTCAAATTTTCACTTTTTAGTTTTCAGTTTTACTGAAGAATTTGACTTGACTCAGTTGTTACTGTGATGATTGCAAAGTGGTGATTCTCTGATTCCATTATCCTTTCTACACTAATTTGGTATTCTACTATGAGAAAGAGCTTTTCTTCTCACCCATACATTTACTATCAGTATGGACTCATGGATTCTTATTTTATTCAATGAGTTACAATCCATCACTTTCATTATTTATTTTGACACTCAAATTATCGCAACTTTATACAGTATCTGCTTACAGCTGTTTCCCGTATCCTGTAATTCTTTCCCATAGCCATCATTTTATGAGCACTTTCTTAATTTCTAACACATCAAGATGTTCTGGGCCCAGGGTGGGGGTGGGGTAGGGGAGGGTATAGCTCAGTGATAAAGTGAATGCTTAGTATGTCTGAGGTCCTGGGTTCAATTCCTTTTACCTCCATTAAAATAAATAAATAAACCTAATGACCTCTCCCAAAACAAAACAAAACAAAATAGATATTCTGGGCTCAATCAGCACTTTCGCTGTCCCAGCCTTTGAACCAGCCATTTCTCCAAGGAGCCAGGTTCCTTGCAGGGGAATAGGTATACTCATTCCTATGGGGAAGCCAAGAAGAGTGCTTCTAGGCCCTTTTAGTGGATAGAACTAGGAACACACATACACACACATACACGTATGTCTACACTGCTTTCTTTGTATATATATTTAAGACTACATGTTCATACTGATACTTCCATTCCATTTCAAAACCAAAGAGTTCTCCCTAGCTTTCTCCATTTTTAGTTCTCTTCTCCAACAGTGGAAAATCTGGCTCCTAACCTCTTTAATATATTTACTCATTTGCTCAGTCCGATAATACACAGAAAGTAGTTCCAGAATTACTTATTCGAAATACAGGTAGGTTCGTTGTTTGTGTTTGCATTTTAGGGTTCTTCCTAATCCTTCTGGTAATTTTCTGAGTTCATAAAACAGTAACATGATTCTAAGAATCAAAACTATACAAAAATTCATATTTAGAAACGTGTCACTCAGCACTTCCACGTCGTCCCCCGTGCTCTCCTCTCTTCTCCAGGATGCTAACTAACCTCCTCCGTTTCTGATATCCTTCCTGTTTCTTTTTGAAAAATCAGACAGATAAATGTATATTTTATTATTCCTTTCTTACAGAAAAGGTGGTATACATGTTCTTTTCTACTTTGCTTTTTTTTTTTCACTAAACACTGTATCTGGAAATCATTCCATATTAGTCCATAGAGATCTTTCTCGCATCCCCCTACCCCCCACAGAGTGGGGATTCTATAGTTTATTCAACAAATCGCCTATGTACGGGTATTCAGTATGTTTCCAATACTTTGCAATTACAAGCAGTGCTATAATTAGTAATCTTGGGCCTATGTACTTTTTAAATTATTGAAGATACATACTCTGGGTAAATTCCTAGATGTAGGTTTCATGGCTCAAAAGTAAACACAAATGTAGTTTTGTTAGGTACTACTAAATTTGGGGTTGATCAGGGCAGGGGGACAGTGGCCCAGAGTGTGAGAACTTTATATTTTGCCACACTTGAATTCTTTTTTATTGCTCTAGCTTTATCAGTTAGTAGGCCTTTTTAATTGTTGAGAGATAATTCTTTACAGGTCTCTTGCATGCAGTTAGTGGAGCATAGGCATTGGCTCTCTGCCTGCATTTGTTCAAGAATGTTTGAATAGTGAAGACCCTTGAAAATTAGAGTTAGTGTCTTTCTTCAGAGCAAAAGGCAGGATTCTTTACTGTCCAGTATAATGAAGATAATGTCTCCCTCTGGAACAAAGGTCAGACAGGCCTACTGCCCATTAGAAAAGATTCTGGTTCCCTAAATGTGGGATTCCTCCTCTGTAAGCTTTCTTTTGGGGGGGGGGTAAGCTTTTTTATTATTTAAAAAAAAAAACTATTTGCATAGATTACTTTGAAAAAAATAGTTTTCATGGCTGAGTGAAGTATTGGGCAAGTGGTCCATAAGGCAGCCTCACAGAGCTTCCTACACACACCTGTGCAGTATGGGGAAGATGGCTGAGAGCTCCTGGTACCCTGGAAAGCCCAGGG